AAAAATTGAATATAAGGCTTCTCGCAGGTTAATCATACAACAAAAAATTTAAAAACTTAAGAATAATAATTTTAGTTATTTTTTTGTAATTGTAGGAATACTAAGCTTATTGTTTAACCTCTTTTAAATTGCAAAAACCACACTCTGTCTAAGATATAGAGCCACGAGCCACTTAGCCACTAAGTAGCTAAAAGTTTAAATTACTATTACAGTCTTAAGGTCTACATTCAAAAATAAAAAAGCTCGGTTAATATTTCAAATTTTACAATAAAAGCCATGAACATTATTTGTAAATATTTTATAGAAAATTAAATTTACAGGTTACTTTTTTTCAAATATTAATTCACTATAATTGTCATCATAAATTCTGATCCAGGTATATATAGGTAGGTATCAGAATATTCTTGAGCAGTCAATTTGTTTTAACATTAAAAGTAATTTCGGTGCATAGGTAGGTACTTATATTTCTGTTGTATGATAGGTAGTATACAAAATAATTACCTGTTATACTAGATATATTACAAATGTTTCTTGTTTTCTATAGGTATTATTACTTATTAGTATACTATTTATTACTTATTACTTGTTGATGGTCAAGCCTCAAGATTAATGACAGGTACTAGAATGCTAGATTATAATGTAGCTATTGCCTAATGTCCTAATTAATGTATTTTAATTAGTAAATCGTCATATGATAAAGTAACAGTAACTTTAGAATAATTGTCAGCCATAATCACAGAATAATATTACAATTATCTGAAGTCGGAATCTCCGAGAAACAAGCAATATTTTCAAGAAGAAAAATTAGATACGTGTGTTGGTAGGTAGGTACGTATCATATACTCGTACTGAAGAACAAATTCACTTTAGTTACCATGCTTTTTTTTAAACATTTTTTAATATAGTTAGGTTTTCGGATTGAGTATATTTTTAACCGATTTTGTAAATATTTGTTTATATCTGTTCCGGACAATTTGGAAAACTAGGCAATGTAAACCACGATTTTTTTATGAACGGACGTGAATTCGTAAATAACATAATATCTGAACTTTGTACTACGTGGAAGAATTTAAAAATAGTGCATGGTAAGCAAAGAAACTTTCAAAACCAAGGTCCAGTTGAAAGAGCAAACCAAGATGTCGAAAATATGCTTGCAACATTGCTTCAAGATAACAAACGATTTTTCGTTTAAACACATACAGATTACGGACCACAAACTAGGCAACAGGGATTCCTAACCGCTTTGTGCCCTATAGTTTTTGTCTTATTATGTGTATTGTACAACTATTGTGTAGCTTGTGTAAGCATCAAGTGGTGAGAGTTTAAATTTAAGAATTCTACGTAAATATGTTAACGAATATTTATGTCTTAGATTTACGCGGAATGACTAGGTATTGACTGTCCTTCACCTATTTGTATCGTCGAAAAATAATACGTATTTATTTCACTGTGTGAGCCGTGAAAATGTATTAAAAGATCGAATGTGCCTTCAAGTAAAATAGGTTGGGAACCACTGAGCCAGAGCTTTGTGCGCATGAGTAAAAATAAAAAATTGCAAGTGGGAGTTGTCGTGCATGAGGTTCTCAGTACGCGGCGATCATACTTTTGTTTTATTTAATTTTTCAGTAGGTATCGTTGAAGCATCGTATCGCGTAGTTGTTTCATCGACCGACGCACAAACTCGTTACGCGTTAAAGTGGTTGATTTTTAAGTTACGGTTTGTTTATTTCTTGTGTAACATTGTATAAAATAAATAAATCTATGCATTGTAATTCGCGAATTGTCCAGCAATAAAGTAACAGTAACTTTAGAAATCATAAATCGTAAAAGACATTAATCGTGATCACAGAATAATGAAGAAATTATCTGAAGTCGAACACTTTCGAAAAACATGCAACATTTTCAAGACATTTTCGGTAAGTTACTAATAAAAAATCTTAACTTTGGAAGGCTTTTTAAAATAAAATAAAGTAAAATAATGATTTCCGCCATATGCGTCTTTCTTGACTGGCTGAAATACATGTTTTAAAATGCTTAAGAAACGCAAGTATGAAACTTAAGTGAAATTGTATTAACTCATACCGAAGCTCGATTCTGTTATTAGTCGATATATTATTGTGTACCATACATACGTTTAATTGGTCGAAATGCTTACTATTGAACCGATGCGTATCGTAATCCATTTAACTTTTCTTCAAAACTTTTTCCCTTGAAAATCTTGATGAAAATAATATGAAGATTTTGGTGTAACAAGTAACAACAAACACTGCTCATACGCACTAGAATTTTTCGATTTTGCAACAACTTTTTTTTTATATTTTTGTACATTGTACGTCCAACCACCTCTCTGACTCACAGTATCACGCTTGACCACACAACTCGCCAAGTCTGGATACTCCTTCTATAAGTATAATGTCTAAGACTACAGCTCTACTTTTAAACCAATATGGCTACCAGCTGTAGTCATAGTTACCACGCCATGAGCTGCACAATCACGACGTTGCACCCGACATATTATGTGCCTTAACCCTAGCATACCTCCTTAAAGCCGCTACTTAAAAAAATGGTCGTTTCGGTGTTCGTCACAATAACTGACGATTCACGCTACCCCCCCCCCCCTACACGGCAAGAACATATCAACAGATTAAACACTTTTTTTTTGTCTAGAACTAGGATCATATTTTAACAGCTAATAGGTGTCTAGGCATTATTATTATGATTTATGACCTAAGACAGTGGTCCCCAAATTTTTTTTCGATCACGGTACATAATTATTAACAGGAAAATGACTATGAATTGGCAAAATCGGTTGACTATTGCCAGATGGCTTTAAATATGGCGGCAGTAAACGTTTCCGTAACTTGGACAAACAAGCGTATAACGTCAGGTTGGTGAGCAGTCTCATTTTAAATGTTTTTTTATTCATTTGATCGATTACCGCTTATATATTGCGTTCTGCAGTAATTATAGTCGCGGTGCACTTTGGATATTACTGTAGTATTGTATACTTTCAAAAAAAAAAAAAATACTACATGACTGGGAAAAAGTTACGGCACACGTTTTGGAAAACATTTTTACAACTAAAAGTAAAATTAAACATTAATCAAAAATAACTGGATTGTGTAAAATAGGTAAAAAGTAATGAACTTACACAAAAACATTATTTCACAATTTTTAATGATTTTCAGATCAATGCTGCAATTATTTTATTAAAACTGTTATTGGCTTAACGCAACATATAATACAACTCGAATAGATCGCTAAAATTAAATTATCTTTCTTCCTATCTATACTGCCTAGTGCCTACTACTATTTAACAAACAATTGATGGTATAGGTACATCAATAAATATTCTTGGTTCCTAATGAGATTTACATTTAATTGGATTTGAAAATAGTCTTATATGGCCTAATTAAATAAATATTAATACATTTAATTGATATACATATATATAAAATATTATTGGTACATACAAGTAATGTGCGTAATGTGAATTTAGCTACGTTAGGTATATTATTAATTTTTGTTATTTTATTTAATATTATTTTAAAAAATGTTTTAAGAAACCACACCAATTAATTCAGTTAAAATAGTATCTACTTGTAAGTATTATATTATTCTAATTGTACCTACTGTAACAGATTAATATGTATTCTTATACAATTTATAGATAAAGTTGGAAGTGGAATCTCACCAAATGTTATAATTTATCAGTTTCAAAATGAATTTGATTAAAATGTTGAAAAAAAAATAACAAGGATGGATTTATACAACATATCAGCTAAATTTGGTCTACAAGGAAATGCATGTTGGCAATAGGATAAAGATGATTTTATTGTTTTATTGGTTGTCTTACACAATATTATAAGCGATGATGCTTCTACATTCTGGAATGCATGGACAAAAACTATGTCACAAATTATTAAATCATATCTTTTAAGTAAATGGCATATTCACAACATGTGGCATTACATACAATTGAAAAAAAATTGATGGTTCACAAACTATAAAAACTTATGTTTATACAACTCAAAAAAATTGATTCAATCGTAGACAGTTTTGGGATTAGATAAGTACTTTTTTATCTAGATAAAGATAAAAGATAACTAAATGCAAATCTATTTAGATAAAAAACAGATAATTTTTTTTAATACCTAATTTAAAGTCTAGCTTTTGAGAGTACACCTTACATACTACTTAGTACTTCAATATTATATAAAACTGACTATACGTTTGAATTAATGTTAGAAGTAGATATTATTATTAATCAATAACTAAAGCATAACTGAAAAAACATTTTCAAAATTAAGTATAAATATAAAAAAAGAACTATTTTACACGACAATTAGTATGTATTTAAATTTTTTTTTAGTAGGTTCCTGGGTAAAATACACATAATATAATTTATACTATGTACATTGCATAGGATTGTCGGAACTAAGAAAACACAATTAAATAGGCGGTACATAACTCTACCATGTAGCTTACTGTTCGTAAAAATAACTTATAATTTTTTTCCATTATTTTACAGTTGACGAGCACCTAACCAACACAACAACAATAAAATGTAGGTACATTTGAACACCGGGTATAGGCCCCTAACAAAAAGATTAATAATAAATTATTATACCTAATAAATAATGTTATTATGAACATACATTTTTTTACCGAGAACTCTTGACAATTCAAATTTAAAGTATTAATCATCAAAAAAATAAATTGACAATAACAATGGACAATAAAATTTTATTTTTTGCATAGACAAATTTATCTAGATGGAAGAATTTTTTATCTAAGATAATTATTTAGATAAAATGCAACTATTTATCTAGAATAGATAAAAGATAACTAAATAATTATCTAGATCAATTTATCTAGAAGCAATAAGAAAATAACAATGTAATTTATGTAAGGCACCGAGAACCAGACAACAAAAATGTAGACAAACAACAACAGTTGTATTTAATAAAAAAAAAGGACAGGGATGATTTCTTTTTAAATTTAAAAAATATTAGTTACTTAGTCTTAATAATTAATAGGTATAGTTGTTACTATATTATACTGTTACATAAGTTTGATGTTATTTAAATAAAAAATATGTTGTAGTGAGTTTTAAAGAATAACAAGTATCAAACATTCATATAAAGCATAAACAGTTAAATGAAACTAGATACCTGATAATTTTGTTTGGTATATCTGAACTGGTTTCAAAAAAATTACAAACCTATCGAGTTAGCAAGCTTAAATATTTTATAATTATTTGTAAATTTATGTTTAAAATTTTTTTTCTCTCAATACTGGGTTTATGATTAAAAAACATTACCTATTCCAGTGAAAATATTCTTATTTCAGTAAAATTATCGTTACTTCTCCAAGCTCAGAAAATAGTAATACAATTGTTTATATTCAATGCAGGGCATTAATGGGTTTTATTAACTATTTTGTTAATTTAAATTATACATATTTATAGATAAAAATTAATATATTATATTAATTAGGTGGGTATCATTGTAATAATATAGGGGTCATTAGTTGCAAACAGCTTAAAAAAAATAGCATTAATAAGGTTATTACAAAAGTCCGGATTTGTATGCATTTACATATTTGTAATGAGAGTATGCATTTCGATTGGAGTAAGAAATGTGGATGATGTGTAACAGATAATGCATAGAAAAAAGTTTATTTTGTTTCAATTTCATCGTTGAAATTATTAGTTCATTACGTATTTTTGGGAAATAAATGTTATTCTCCATATGTTATCGCCAGTAAATTGTGCGCCAGTGCCCATACATTATTTCGTAATTAGCGTTCCGTAAATTTATAAATTAAAATTTTCATTTCATTACAATTTATAAATTTTAAAATGCCGAAAAGTCGAAGCACTATTCCAACTTTAATAAAAATATGGATTGCTCTTTATTAAATATTTACTGTTCTTTAATAAATGTTTAAGGTCAATGTCTAAAATTAAAAAAAATATATTAAAATGCATATATTTTGGTTATAAGAGCATATCAAGTTCATATTTTGAAGTTTTTTGATGCATAAATGCATACTATTTTGGCCTTTTTGAGTGCATACAGACTCTAGTTATTACAAATTGGTTATATTACTTACATTACAATGTAACCAAAAAAAAAAAAGCATATGAATAAAAATGAATCAATACAAAGATATTTTTATTTAAACTATTTGAACACATCTAGAGTGAAACATGAAATTGTACACTTTTACACAATACAAAATTTGTACATATTCCAAATGCCACTAACGACAGTAATTATCCTCTAATTAAAGCTACAGTTGAGTATAGTTCTGTAAGTATATTAAATGTTTGTTACAACATGAAAAAATTATTTTATTTTGCTTTTATTTTATTGACATTTGTATTTTATAGACTTCCAATCTTTCAACAAAAACTTGGTGAAAATGAATTTGATACCAATGTACCAAAAGTACACACAGTAATAAATGATCAGGTAAAATTAAAATACATATTGAACAACTAAAAATATTAATTTTTAACTTTTGATAATGATGAAGTAATTATAAAAATTAATATATTAATAAAGAAAAAAAAACTTCTTTGTTTAAATAGTGGTAATAACTAAATAAAGCTGATTTTTTTTATGTTCATTGATTTTAGTAGTATTATACTAAGATATTTACTCAAAATAAATACTTAAATTTATTCTTAGAATAATCTTGTGTAGTCATTTGTCTGTAAATTACACAGTGTATTATTTATTTTATCTATAAGAATTTATAAGAATATACAGAATTTATGTTTTTTATTATATTAGATATTTATTCATTAAAAAAAATTTTTATCTTTTAGATATTACTACATTAAGGTTATCCAAGTAATGTGAATACAAGGATTAAACACCTTATAACATTGAAGATTCTCTAAATTATTTTATTAATCATTAACAAAAATGTGCAATATTTATTCAATTTTCAACCGAGCACAACCATTGAATGATAACATACTTCATCCTATGAAGGATTATTTCTAAAAAAATTCAAATTCAATATTCAAACAGACATGGCTAACCTATTAAAAGCTAAACAATTAATGTTGTTTAGCATTTAGTGCTGAAGATTATCAGTTTACAATAGGTTGTTGAACTTCGCACAGTAGTAATTTTTATACTAGAATGAGCGAACATGAAAAATCAAGAAGTAAAAGAAAAACAATTTTGAAGCATTTTTACTTAATTATAACATGTCTGACATTAATTTAAGATTTACTACTGGAAAGGGATATGAAGTTGAAAGAAACTAAGAGGTTTTGGAATGACTAATTGATATTATAAAATTAATGTTATGCCAAGCATTTTGAAACCATACACATAAAAAGTGATTCTTCATTAGACCGCAGAAAATCTAAATATGATCCAGTTCTTAAGAACATACAGACAATATGTAAAAAGTTACAAAAGTAAAAAATCTAAAAAGTGTTAAACTGTTGGATGCCCTATTTACTTTTCTATCAAAAATTGCAGTAGACTATATTATAGGAATTATTAGATCTTTAATGAAAACTACTATTTTTGAAAGCAATAGAAAAAAAAAAATTTTTTAAGATTCAAATTGATTCTAACCAGGATTATAAATGCGCACAAATTGCTCGCAATTATTATTAGTTCTGTGACTGATGAAATGATTGAAGAATTATTAGCAATTGTTAATTAATAGTGTGAAAGGTAAAAATCTGTTGAATTGTTTGTAAAGCTAACTTAATTTATACATTAAAAACTGTATGGCAGAGAAAACTGTCGAGGCAAGTAATGTGCAGGCTTAACTTTGTTATGATTGATACAATTCGAGTTTGCTAGCAAAAGTAATACATTATTTGGTGTGCTAAATTCAATATCACAATGGATTAGTAAAAAGCTTAATAAATTTGAATCCAATATAAATCTATGAAGTCAGAGTTAAAAGATTTTATAGAAAACTGGCTCGACACTAAAAACATTAGTACTGTTACAATTACTATAAATGAATTTGATATCCAGGATAATAACGAGGATGATACAAATGGTGAGAATAGCACATCATCTTCAACCAGTTTTTGTTTGAAATTGTATGAAGATGTAGTATTTACAAATAGCATTATTTGTTGTTTCAAAGTTCTGCAAAAATATAAAATACATTCAAAAGCAATATGTATATGACCTATAAATAATTATAGGTACAACACTTTTCTGTAATCAAGTGAGATTTGAGACAACACTTTACAAATTAAAATATATTTAAATAAATTAAGAAATTCTTTGAGTCAATCTGAATTGGAAACATTTTAAATAATGTCAGAGGTGGAAAATAATATTTCAGTTAATTCAAACAGTGATGAAATAATAAACCAATTGGCTAAAATGTATTCTAAAATAGCAAATTTGTTATTTAATATTATAATATTTACTGTTATTATTATGATTATAATATTATGAAAGTTTAATATTGTGTGTATTCTTTATTATATATAATTAAGACCTTATAAATTATACTAATTAATAATAATGCATAAATAACTATCACCAGAATTCTTTTCAGTAAATAGGTTAATTGTGTTATGTTATGTTGAATATTAATCAAACTTGTACTATTGACTACCTACATATTTAAAACACTGTAAAATGTAATAATTTTGAAAACCAAAAAAGCATAAAAATATAACAACAGATCAGTGAGTTATTTTTAAAATGTATTAAAACAATAATTTAATATTTCTTTTGGTACCTTGTAGTATCTATTTGTATTACTTAACTTACACAATGTTATGTTATTGAAATTTATAAGCGTATCAAGATTTTTTTTAGAATGGTTTTAAAGAAATTAAAATTAAAGCCTGGGGCTATCTTAACCCATCATTGGTATCTTGGTGAGCGCTCACTTAATTAATATTTTGAGAGCCGCTTGTTTTGTTTATTACTTTAAACCAGTGATACTATTAATACCTTTAATCAATACATTTCCAAATACAATTTTGTAACTATAATAATGTTATAAATAATTCTTGATGAGATATCAACATGCAGTGTCATCAGTACCTGTGGTTGTCAACCATTGCTTTACACCACTTGGCCTAGTTGAATAATATTATGCTATGATTCACATACTTAATGTATTTTATAGGATATTATGTGTAGATCAAATTTTAAAAACTATAATATTTGAAGTGTATTGTATGAAAAATCTTATGATAATGTTTTAAATTTTTATTGTTTAAAATATTTATAATTGAAAAAAATTCTAAGAATATTTTTTTTGTAAAAGATATAAATATAAACAATATGGAGTGGGTTTCAATATTTTATATTTCTTATAAAATAAATAATAATGAAAAAATAAAGAGGTGAAAGGCACTTAACACCAATGGTCTCGCCATTGCAAAGCTGTTACCAATGATGGGTTAAATAAAGACGAAACATTTATTGAATAGATTTGTAAGTTATTTGTTAGTTAACATTTTAATGTTGTACAAAGAAAATTTAATATATGAACATATTGTATTACATAAATTTCATTATTTTTAATATACTATCATGATCACAATTATTTTAAAGAAAAGAGAAATGGTGATGCATTATAAGAGAAAAATTATAACTGCAAGCTAAACAAATTATTGCAATTACAATATGAAACGTTCACTGAAATGTTCACCATGTATATTGTATAATATGAGGCAATATACATATTACAATAGTAAACTTAAGACAACAAAATAACTAAACAAAATAAAATGTTAAAACTTGAAGCAAGTTTATTTGTATAACTATAGTGTAAACTAAGTAATAGTAGTAGCAATAGTAGTAATTAAACTGTATTTAAGTAATGTTATTATTTTAAAATTTTAATCTATAATATTGACTATCAAATTAAAAAATAATGATTAACGATATTATGCATGATACGCCATGGTTTTGATGACAAGAACATTTAGATTAAAAAATCTACCACTTCATTGATACCCTTATCTCGTACCTCCCACTCTCAGACTTTACTGCATACGAATGCTTACAGCGCTACCGGTGTTTTTTTGGAGTATTAATGACATATTTTTGTATGTGGTTCTTCGTTTCTGTGATAAGGCAACTCTTGTAATAATAATATGATAGTGGGTTACTGATAAGACGCTGACGCTAGTGACGCTAATATTAAAATGGAGCACCAACCAGAACAAAGTTACGAAAATGTTTAATGCCACGTAGGTCGTCGGTGTTGAAGTCGGGCACTGTCGCCTTGAGAGCCGAGACTACAAGTTTAGCGTGACGCCATTTTTTTTTACAAATTTTAGGTTAATAATTGTTATGTATGTAATAGTACCTGTTATGTATTATGTTTAGTCTAACAAATCGTTCCATTCTTCATAGGTCAACCAACTACAGGTCACAGGATGAAGTTTGGAGGTACATTATTTAAGCGAACTCCAAATAAATAGATGGTCAAAAACACGTGGTAAGTGAAACAATTGTGTTATAGTATTTATAAATATTTAGTCAGGCACATAGTATTATTAGTAATAATCATGATATCAGTGCCATAAGAAATAACTCCGTAGCCAAAATGTATTCATCGTTGTATAACTACAGCAATTAATAGGTACTTTTCATATTTGAAACAGAGCGATGAGTTAATTGATCTTACAAATATGACGTGTTTTGTGTGTGTATACACGATAGTATTCGAAATAAATAATAGATCTGGTTTCTGAAGAAAAATTAGATTTTGGAATTTTTTAAAAGGTCAACATATCTCCAAAGCGTCTAGAAAAATTAAATTGTTTACACAAAACTAGTTTTTGACAAAATTAAAAATTATTTGTTGATGACCCTAATTTTTTTTAGGTTTATTCTAATTCTAATGAAGTCAATTAAAATTTTTTCTATGGGTTAATCAGCTAGGAAATAAAACTTAAAACATATAAAAGATGCATGGGCATAATTTTTTTATAGGCATAGAATTTCAAACTTTGTCGCTTCTCTACATGTGTAGCTAAAAATGTATATAATATTTATTTTTATGAACAGTTTTTTTTACATTAAAAAGTTTCGATGATAAATAAAATAAACTTAACTTAGTTACAACAAAGTTATTATTTCCAAACTACAATAGTCATATATAATATATAATACATAAAACGCCCTAGTATTTTGATTTACTAATACATATTACATATGTACACATATATACATATAGGGAGCTTGAAAATTTATGTTTGGGCCATTGTATCATATAAATATTCAAAATTGTGAAAAATATATAATACAAAAGTGTTTTATTTAGAAACTTCTATTATGATAGTATAATTGTTTACAATATTTTTGGAGGGTTTTGGGGGTCAACTTTACAAAATTAAAACTATACTTTTATTATAAACATAATGTAAATAAATTGTACTGCATGACCAAAATTAATTTATGCTATACAAGGTTCCTTGTAAGTTGTTGATAGTGGAATCAAAAAAGTTTAGCGCGAGTCAACAATAATTTTTTATGAACGTCTGAATTTCATATTTCGACACAATAAGTAAAAATCACTAAAATATGCAAATTATTTTGAGTTGGACATTCATGATAACTTTTATTTTTAAGACTTATACTTTTACAATAATAGTTGAAAAATATTAAAAATTCATAGGCACAATTTTTTAAGGAGCTTTTTGGTGTACAAATATATGCTGTTTAAATTTTAGAATTTATCAAATCGTTAATTATTTATTGTTATGTTTAAAATTGTATATTAATTAATAATAATGTTTTTAATTACTAGTCAAAGAAATTGAAATTAAAATCGTGAGTAGTATCTCATAAATTCATAACTAATAATTTTTTTCCCTTATATTTATAAGTTAAAAAAAAAAAAATAAGGGCATATTTAATCACATATATCAGGATTTTTAAGCATATATCATTATATCACATATATCGTTAGTTTTTAGCTTACATACTTCCTGTCCCTAATAATAAGTAATAACAGTATAAAATATCCAAAACTAACATGTCCCTGCTGAGAATATTTCTTCATATACAATGATATTATATCATTGATTCAAATTTAATACCTTCTATTACAGCGACCTTCTGGTAAGACACCTATTGTACAGCAGAGCGACAGCCACTTACTCGCTTTTTTCTTATCAATAATTGTTATTTGTACTAAGACCATATTAGTACAATAATATTTTTTATATCTCATGGCTTTATGCCTATCGAATCTACTAGAATACATCCATATACAAAATTATTTTACTAAGAAAAATGACAGAAGTATTTGTGTTATTTGTTTTAATAGTATTAGATGATTTTCATTTGTATATTTATGCATACAAATAAACAAAAAAATTCAAACATGATAAATCATTTTTTAATTAACTGTGAAGTTATTTCACTGTCAATTAAAATAGTTAAGTTAAAAAGTTTTAAAAAAATTAACTTTTTAACGAGTTATAGCCTGCCTTTGAATTTAAATTATTGTGTTGTAGATAAATTAAAAATATGATTTGTGGATACTTGAAACTTACAATTTGAAATATGTTATTAAATCTTAAACACATGACATTAAAGAATGCAATATTTTGGACAGTAATTAATTCAACCTATAGTATAACTAATAATACAATTAATAAGACTTAAATAGTAATAATATAATAAAATATACTTAGTAATATTATAAGCTGATCATCATCTTTGCTCAGAATTATTTTTGATTCCAATGATTCATCATTGAGGTCAAGATTAACATATTCATTAAGGTGACCCACTTAACACTTACTTTACTCTAGAGCTATTACCCACATTCTTAAGTATTTTAAGTTACTGAGCTATAGAGTTTCCATAAAAACAAAATACTAATATAATTTGATACACGTGAATCATCAAATTGACTAATTACTTATTAATGGACATTTTTAAATACTTAGTACTTAATACTATTTTTCCTCTACTTGATTTATATACACATATAAATGTAAACTTAATTTAGAAGCAAAAAATATTGTTTATGGGTCATTTTTAGTTTTAGTTTTTGGTTTAAAGGACTTTTAGAGTTGGCATTGCACGACCAATTGTTGCGACACTGAACATTATTCATTTACAAATGTAATTAACTACTAGAATATAAAAAAATTGTGTTAGGTCGTTATTTAATAAAAGAAAAAGTTTTATTTTATTCTATATTTTGTGTAAGTTAAGTTCAAAATAAATGTCTTCTTTAAAAAAATAAAACATCATTTTCTACGTACCTACTCAAATTCCTTATCATAACCAATTAGCCGTGCTATGAATGACCAACATCAAAATAATTTTACCTCATTATCTTTTGACATTGTTGATTATTTTATAGGTTTTATCATATTTATTATTTATAATATTATAGAGCTATTTCTTATAAATGGTTTGGTTTGTGGTAAACTTCAAATGCTACGGAAACATGAAGTCTCTGATTATAATAAGGGCATTTATGATTTATGATCTAAAAACCATAGAAATATGCATTTAGTCTCTTTTTTGAACTAGTATACCCTATAAAATAAAAAATATGCAAAAAGGTCTTATTTTCATTATTTTTTTTATGTTTATTATTTACATACAATTTTATCTTATATTTTTATAAGATTCATATTTTGTAGTTATTTCAAAATATTTTAATTTCAATCTGAAAAATGAATATTTTAACATATAGGTATAAAAATTAATTCAATATGTGATATTATTATACAATGATTAAAATAAATTACAATTTACAATTCATCGTTATATAAATATATCAAATGAAAATAGATAACACACACTTGGAGCACAACAAACACGACTAATTTATGATTCAAGAAAACCAATTCAATAACTAATTACTACTCAGATAAGATGAGAAAACGACTTTGTCATATTACATGGATAATAAATATAACTATAATTACGTTATATTCAAAATACTACATATTATGCATTATTCAAGATATTACATACTATGCATTTAAAAGCCGTATATATGCAATAAAAAATCGTTAAGTACAGAAATATGAAATACGTCATATCTAAAAATAACAAAATATGCAAAATAAAATGTCTACTACTGATCTATTAACAATAGTTCAAACTTGTAGTTTACCTAGCTGTTTTTTGGACTGTTTAGAAAAAACATGAAAATGCATATAAATCCGGGTCCTAATTATAATACTGTAATTCGAAGTACCCAATTAATAAAACACTGCATGTTTAGTCATAGCACCAGAATAAGACCTATAATAGTTAAATATTTATTTATTGGATTTACAAGATATTATTAAAAATACTTTAAATTGGATATTTCATTTAATTTTTAGTTTTCACCACAAATAATACATTGTATAATTTTCATACAATTAACAGACAAGTTGCCTCTACATATACTTCTAGTTTTGACATTCAATAATGAAAAATACACGGCAAATATCTATAAATTACATTATCATATTTATTATTGGAAAAACTTAAAATGGACAAAAAAGGTTTCATTTACAAACAGCAACATTTGTTCATAGTACTGATCCATCATTTAACCATCCTGAATTTGTATTTTGTATTGATCAATCAACTAAGACCTGGTTTCAAATTACCTTGTATCTATAATATTTCAAATATTCCTTACACTTCGTTAGTTTCTAACACATATATAATAATGAATATTATATTTTTCTGATTAACTGATAGTTCACAAAGTTTAGTTTAGTCTTAGAAACTGTTTGCTATTAATGATTTACTAATAAAACTAAGTTTGAATAAATTAAATGAATCTAATTAACCCTAGAGTACACACTTCACGGTTAAGAAAATCAGGCTTTTAGAATTGTGTTCATTGTTTCAAAGATACAAAATATTAATCTGATCCAACCTAGGCACCTTCTAATTAGGCGATGAACTAAAATTAGATAAAACTCCTAACTGTATACAATTTGATGCCTGTACTATAGAAAGGTTCAAAGTTCATTACCTATTAATATACAGCCTTAGAAGCCGCATGCATAATATGCTATGACATTTATACACATTTTAATTTTTTATGACAACTCAATTATGAGTTATTTTGAAACTATTTTCTATGAATAAAATGCGAATGAATATTTTATTTTCAGTGTGATTGGCAACATTGATGTATTGAGTAGGTATCAATAAAAGTATATGAAAATTTTTATTTCTTTAAGAGAAATAAAATAACAATTTTTTCAATTTATCAAGTAATTTGTAATTTATTTATTTGCAATTTCTGTACATGGCCAAAAACACCATGTGCGTTGAATCTCATGAATATTTTTATTGTGTGTAATCTAGAGTTAATAATGGAGTAAATTGTACTGATGCATATTTTTATTCTTTTTAACACATAAGTATATGCATATTTTTTTAGAGCTAAAGCATCCAGTCATAATATTACATTAAGGTGTACTTTCTTCCTCATTATCTAGTACTATCAAGAAAATTTAAATATTTTGCGTTCAGTGTGCACAATTAGCTACTCACACCACTAATAATTATAAAAAGAAAAGAAATGCTGAAGCTTACTTAAAAAAACTAAAAATTATACCTATCTCATTAGATAAAAAATAAAAAGATTTTTGCACTTTGAGTGAGGCTATTGATGTTTCGAAAGATTTTTTTGGAAAAAATTATAACAAGTGAGATTGTATGAAAGCTATTAAAGATAGATTTGTCGTGACTGTTACATTCAACCTGAAGAAGAATCTGATTCAATTTTCCAGTATTTCTGCTTTTTACATCCAAACAAGGCCGAATTTTAATGAGCTCAGACCAAAGAAGATTTTGGGGTCCCTGGGTTGTTCATAATAAAAATTACAAACTTACCATATGTAAAATATATTTCTAGTTTTAAATCTAGATAAATACTAATGTTACATGATTTTTATAAATTCATACAGTTACGTTTATACATATAGTCATTTATAGGTGATATAAATGTAGTTATACAAATGTTTTTATAAAATACCTTAGGCTAAAAAATAAAAATATGTAGCATCAAAATTTACAAATTGGGCACCTACATTCCTTGATTTTTTCCTCTGCAATGTCATCAATAATATCAAGCCTGGGCAAGTTTGTCATAATTTTTAATTGAATCAAGTTAAATAGATAAAAAATGCTTAAAAGTTAAAAGTTCATAATAATGTTTATTTTTATACAGTGCTATAATGCAATATTATTCATTATTAATATTATTACCATTAAAATATGGCATATGTACTACATTATTTTCACTGAACAATTCTAGTTGACGAAACGATCATTTAATCTAATTACCTATTTTAGTAAATGTTCATCCAATATGCATTATCAATAATAATGTTATTATAATCATTATTAAATTATTTATAAATTAACTTAACTTTGATTAGATTGAAAGTAACTCGTAATTTAATAAATTTATATCAATAAAAATCAATTAAGTTAAAAATTAAGTTTTAAAAAGTTCAATGTTTTGAACTTGTTTATGACCAGGCTTGAATAACATCATAAAATCCCCAACTGTCCAATAAATTACTGCCAATGTTCTTAACTGATAAAGGATTTAAACAATCTTTATGCTTGTAGTTCTTAGCCTGTTTTTTTATTATTATAATTATGAGCCTTGAAAATGTGTGTTAACTTAACAAACGTATGTTTTTGTAAGTTGTAACTAGGCCAGAACAGTGATTTATAATAAATATTTATTTATTTATTTAATACACAATACTTATTTATAGTTAATAAGCAGTATTTAATTATTTAATTAGAAATTAAGAATTTTTAATGTATAAAACATTTTAATAAAAAACCATTGTTTTGATTGTTCTTTTTCTGGTACAATGTTTTTTTAAGGTATATGCATAAAACATGTTTAAAAAGTATAATTATAACTTATCTTTAAACAGAACAATCTTACTTTTAGGTATATGAGACAGAGTGTAGTATATAACATTTAAGGTCATACAACATCTGCAGAAAGCATTATTTTAGGTAAAACAATAGATAAAATTGTTTTTGAAGCATTAATTATTTTAGAATACTGAGCTGCTTACCTTAAAACTTGCACCTAAATTCTCTCCACAACCATCTATGAAGTAATTAATACTGTCAAATTAAAGTATACAATAATTTGTATGTTGAATGCAAGACAAAATGCATGTCTGACACTAGTACTTCAACATCGTCCACAATTGTTAATGTTGCAATGGAAACTGCTCTACACACATTGACACATTGACCGAGCACTAACAGATTTCTGATAACACAACCCTAGAACAGAGACAATTATTGAAAACATGTGCAACAAAATACTATTTAAATAATAAATCATTTTTTCTGAAAGTGCCACAAAGGTCTACTCGGACAACAAACATTTTACTGACGACGCATCGCACGTACGATGCTCTTATGAACCCGTGTTATGAGCGGTCTCGCAAATCGATCGGAACGAAAACTACCTATTTCATTTGAAAATGGGGAAGCCGAAACGTATTTTATCCGTTAAGTAATACGACTTGTGTAAAAACGTTTTGGAAGATGTTTTCCGTCGTTTTTCTTTCGGCGTACCTAATCTAACCCTATATATTGTTTGGACTCAATATCGATATTAAAAACATCGTAGGTACCTACAATCGCGATTAAATATTTCGGAATTGTATGACGTGCGACCGACGTCGATTCGATTGATTTCCATCGTCGTCTCAGCCGGATTTTCGAAAAAAGTCTTATTGCACGACACGGTGTCGGCCCACGATGCCTCGAACGCGACTCAAGACGTCCATATTGCGGCATGGACTCAATGTCCGTAATATAGAAAAGTCGTACGATCACGTCACGCCGTTACCGGTGTGTCTCGAACCGTTGGCTCTGCTTACGTACCGAAATAATGAGGATCCTTAAACAGCTTTTTTTCAAAGAAAGTAACAAAAAAAAAAAAAATCGTAATTCGCTCATAGACGACAAGAACGCTTCGAAGTCGTGAAATGAAAATGGCGGCTGTAAACAACTATAACCGCGTCCGAGCCCGGCGGTCAGACAAGGAGATCACAAGTGATAGATAAGCGACGAAACGTTTGTTGTGTTGACGAACGATGCGCACCGCCGTATCGGAGTCCACGGAGGTAAATATTTAACCACAGGTGGAAGTACAACTGTAAAATAAATTAGTAACTGTACTGTCCGTCGCCGTCGACCATGTAGTGTTCCGCCGGTGGAAGGTTAGATTTTTATTATAATTACGAGTTGAAATGTGCGTTCACTTTACATAATATAATAATAAAATATATTGTGAGTTCTGCAAAGTAATAGGTAACTAGACCGGAACTTAGTATAACATGATGTACATAAGTACATATTTTTTTTCCTAATATACATATATTTCTAAATGTCACATAATAGGCGATTTTTACTAAACGCATTTTTTTTACTACTCTAATAAAAAATTATGTACCGAAGAAAAATGTATTGGTACATACCTACATTTATGAATTTTCTAAATTAATATAGCATTTTTATTGCATAAAACATTTTAATAAAAAAGACACTGTTTTATTAGTTTTTTTAAGTACTCAGTTTTTTAATAGGTCTGTTCTTAAAACGAATTCCAGCTGAATAGTCCATTATTAAAAAAGTTGGACAAAAATTCCAAATTAATTTTTAATTGTCAGACAAAATATTCCATTAAATCGTAACTTATATTTACATAATTGATTAAATATAGGTAATATAGTAATTACCATATATTAATATAATTAAAATTAATTTGAAAATTGTAATTCATTTGGTTATTTTAATTTAGTATGGTTGTGGATCATTAGGTTAATAAATACATAGGAACTGCAAGTAATAAAAAATAATGAGTTGACAATGGAAGAATTTTGAAGTTGCATGTTATTTGATTGTGTATAAGAAAAGGTTAATTATATAAAATTATTATTAAAATTATAGTGATCGATGTTAGTGAACTGTAGGTACATATAAGGAATATTGTTTAATCAAATTCAAATTAAATATATTAATGTAGGAAACACGAAATAAAAATTATAATAATAATTACATTTTTTAAATAAACATTAATTAAACATGAAATGTCTATGTACCATATTATATGATAATATAATTATAAATGAAAACTCAATAAAATATTTTCTATTTTCGTATATTATGCACTATCTTACTATTAGCTTATATGAGACAGCTGAGCATATTATATCATTTGGGGGCACCACAAGACCCGAGGAAAGCATTATTTTAAGTGAATCAATAAATAAATATATTTAAGAATACTAAGCCGCTTACCCATCAATTTGAACTTAAATTCCTTCCACAACAAGTGGTTCTAGCTTTCACACTACAACATGCGATGACTAAAAGGTTGAATACAAAACAAAATTAATGTCTGACACGTCGGTACTTCAACGCTGTACACAATTGTTATTGTTGCGATGGAAACCGATCGACACACGTTGACCAAGCTCAATAGATTTCTGACAACACAGACCTAGAACAGAGAGAAAATTATTGAAAACATGTGCAATTTAATTATGAAAAATATTGTTCAAAAAATAAATCATTTTTTCTGCCGATGCCACAAAGCCTTTTTTCGACATCTCGTCGCTCGTAAAAAACCCTATTTATGAATTAAGATGTGAGCGGTCTCGAAAACCATTAGGTACAAAAGAAATGTTATTCGAAAACGAGCAGGCCGAAACGTAATTTACTCGTTAAGTAATCTGACTTTCTTGTAAAACGTATCCGCCAACACAACTTTCGAATAAAATACGTTTCCGAAGATGTTTCCCATCGTTTTAATTTTGGCGTACCTAACCAACTCTACATATTATAGTTCGGACAAAACCTACAACGTTCCCTTTAAAAATGTCGGAATGTTATGACGCGTCGACGTCGATTTCGATAATTTTGACTCAATCAGTTTCGAAAAAAAGTCATAGCTCTGCGCGACCCGTCTTCAACGACTCGGGCGGCCATATTTATTGCATGGACTTAATATCATTAAAAAAAACTAGCGATCGCGATTAAATACAGGTTCCCTCGAAAAATTTCGGAATTTTAAGACGCGCCGACGTCGATTCGATTAATTTTGCCTCAACCCGTTTCAAAAAAAAAGTAGCCCTGCGCGACACGGTCTCAAACCACGGTATCTCAAACGACTCGGGCGACCATATTGCATGGAGTGATATCATTAAAAAAAACTAGCGATCGCGATTAAATACAGGTTCCCTCGAAAAATTTCGGAATTTTAAGACACGCCAACGTCGATTCCGATAATTTTGCCTCAACTAGTTTCGAAAAAAAGTATAGCCCTGCTCGACACGGTCTCAAACCACGGTATCTCAAACGACTCGGGCGACCATATTGCATGGAGTTTAATATCATTAAAAAAACTAGCGATCGCGATTAAATACAGGTTCCCTCGAAAAATTTCGGAATTTTAAGATACGCCAACGTCGATTCCGATAATTTTGCCTCAACTAGTTTCGAAAAAAAGTATAGCCCTGCTCGACACGGTCTCAAACCACGGTATCTCAAACGACTCGGGCGGCCATATTGCATGGAGTTTAATATCATTAAAAAAAAACTAACGATCGCTATTAAATACAAGGACCTGATAGCAAATTTCGGAATATTTGAGGCGCCGACGTCGTTTCAGTTTATTTCGTCTCAACGCGCTTTTCGAAAAATCAGTCGTAGCGCTCGACGCAGCCACAGGTAGCTCAGGCGGCTCAAACAACTAGGCTCTGACGTCCATGTCGCGTTGACTTAAAATCAATCAAAATAAAAAACGTCGTACGATCGACGTTTCTCATGTCTCGAACCGTTAAATATTGCTACGTACCGAAATGATGGCGATCCTTAAACTGCTTTTGTCGAGGTGAAAATCATAAAAAAAATTACACTTCGCTCACGGACGCCGAGATCAGTTCGAAGTCACGAAGCGCAAATGGCGACTGTAAACAAATCGAATCATCTACCACTGTGACGTTACGGCGCTATTGTTGTTAGCCTTATCGGAAATTCGTGATAACTTCCAATGAGAATTGTCCGACGAAACGGCCGTGTCATATTTTTTGGTGTAGAACGTAACGTATCGGTGTTTATGGAGGTAGATATTTGATCTGCCAGTGGCGGGACAATTTTGTGATAACAATACCATCCCCTGCACCGGTCGTCTGTGTGCAGAATTTGTTGGTTATCCGCCAAATCAAATAAAAATAATAAAAAGTATTTATTGTTAATACGTAATCATAAAGTAATTATTTATTTAGCACCTAAATATTATGAGAGAATAATATTATTTACAATCATACAGCATCACCGTATTCCCAAAGGCGTTTACCCGCCATCACAATCCTGACAAGCAGTTGTGGTTATTATTAATTTACTAGCGATTAATTTATGTTTGGAATTTTATGGCACTTAATATTGCATTAATATTTAAGGTATTACTTTAATAATGGGTATCGTTGCAAATGTGCTACAAACACATGAAAATAAAAATATGAAAGAAAAAAAATGAGATTTTTGTAACTGTCTGAGGTATGCACCTAATTGTTAGCAATATGTCGCTTAATTTAATTAATGATCGTTAGAAATTACTTAAATTTTGAATTTATCTTCAATAATTACAGCTTTGAGTAAATGACAAAAAAACCCAATCAAAATCAGAAAATGACAATAGTTTAAAATGTGTATAATACGAAAATAAAATAAGATTAATCCAGTACTTTTTCATTGTATTATGTTTGAAATATTATGTCCGTGTACTTACTACGAAAAAAAGTTGTACATCGTTTATTATATATATTATTTTTATGTTTAAAAAAAACATTAAAAATAAAAGTTCTATAGGCTATAGGCATACCACGAATAAACTAACACTTGCTGGTAGGTACATACCAAAATACCCGATGAATAATAATATAGTTAGAACATTGTAAAATTAGTGATTATTTAATAATATTTAATCGGTTAACAGCTAGTTTCAATACTTGAAAATTTAATAGGAGGCTGTTTATAAGTTTTCCTACCATTTTTTTAACAAAAATACAATTTTGCGGAAAGTCAAATTAATTTTTCAAGAGCGTTTGATGTTCAAATTTTTACGACGATGGATGTTCTCTCAGGAAATTAACAATTTTTCATCGAACGATTTTCTTATTTTGCTGTAATTCGAAAACGAATAACTGTAGACTTGCATTTTTTTTCGTACATTGCATAAAATATTGTACTCATTCAAAATAGTTCAAATATGAAGAGAGTACTACCGGGACTTTGGTATGAAACTTATTTATTTTACCGGACACCCTTTTTTCTCAATTTGAAAACGATGGTGAAGTCAGAATATGGTGGTCAAGCTTCGTTTTAAAGTTACCTACAGCTAATTTACATTTATAGTATTCTAGTATTTCTGGCTCGGTAAATTAAAATCGAAATATCATCCCTCGACTTGTTATGTAAAACCACCTTGCGTGGGTCTCAGATTTAGAATAGGTAGCTATAACTTCAAAACTAGGTATGTCAAATTCTGACTTCACAATCGTCTTCTTCATGCTCAACTACATGTGTTCTAATAAAATCAAAAAGTTGGTGTCTGATATAACAAAATCATACCTTTGGTGGGAGGTCATCTTGTATGTAAAATTTTTTAATTTTTATTTAATAGGTGTTTGGTGTGAAGTATAAATATTTACCGGACTCTTTTATTTCATCGGACGTTTCTTCGCGGGAATTTTAGGTAAAATAGATACTTGTAATTGTCATATAGGTACCTACTTGAAAACGTTTTCAGAATTAAATACTTAGGCATTATATTTATTCTTAAATTGAAAGAGCCCATATTATACTATTATATTAATTGTAGGCACTCTTATTATCTAGACTATAGTGTCTAGTCTATAGACAACTACTTTAAAAATTAAAAATATTTAAAAAAATGTTCATTCTCTATAATACTAAGAAAATATTAACATTACACTAGCTCAATATATTTTTATAGCTATGTAATATGTATTTGAGGATCAGCTATCAAATCACAACTTTACCCACTAAATATCTAGCTCTGAATAACTTGTTAAGAATAATTTTTGATAAACTTATAGGCCTACGCTTTACTCAATTTAATCCCTTTACTCTGAACTGTCTGTAGATAATTTAAATTACATTTTTATAAAAAATATTCTACTCTACATATAGTGGACATAAAATTTAATCATAAATAAAAAATACTAGGAGGTAAGGAAAAATCGTATATTAAATCTGTTACGTTGTTCTGCTTATTTTGACAAATGTAACTCAATAAATGGAGGTATACAGATGTATAAATCATATAATAATTACAAGAAGCAAGTCAACGCCTTAGCTTCATATTATAATCAAATATTCAAGTACTGTTGTTATTATTACTTATTATATAATAATTATTTTTATGTTATATGTCATCCTAATTAACGTGTTTGTATGAACTTTCTGATTTCAGCACAAGATCGATCTGCTTTTGAAATCAGAACCATTGTCGTGATGAATGTATAACTGTTATTGTATATTTTTTAATTTGTAATCATATTATATTATTTTGGTGTCAATAAAAATTATTAACAGTTAACCTATTGTTTTTATTATTTATTTCGGCACCGCGGAGCTACGTCGTCCGACTGCTGTCCGCTGTGCACGCTGCCCTGTCTCGCGAGCCTTGTATCGTATTTCGAATAGAAAAACCATACGCCGCGGACAGTTTCGACACCTAACCTAACCGATCGCGGTACAAAGGCTCAACATTCGCTGACCACGATCTGCCGACAAAATTCCCGAGTTGGACCGAGGTGCGCTCATGGACCATGGTCGTGACTCTGAACCGTGCAAATCGACTTTGGTCGGAGACTCGCCGCAACGCGCCGGCGGGAAAATTGTTTCGTCTCACCGCGTCGTCGCGGTGGAGGTAAATCGTGTCCGGCCGCTTTCTATCTCCGACGCCACCGCGCTGCAGTCTGCCCACCGTCGAAAAGATTCCAAAGAAGTTACGTTTTAACTGTTTATGCTGACAAAACACCTACTGCGCAGTAATAAAAAAATTATATATTTGCCTTCAGGAGCTGTAACGCATTGCCCGGTGTGGGGTGGGTGGGGGTAAGTGTAGGTCACAATGGTCACATAGATATAGCGTTTTTTCTTCTCGAAAATCTTTTGACGCTTGTCCGGTTTCATTGGCAAATTATTAGCAATTGACATTCGTTGAAAATTTAACAGGACGCAGTCCAAACACAAAACCCCAAAGAATTCTACCCGGAAAATGGCAATGGGGACGAGACAAACAGATATAGGCTGAATGAAGTTACAGGCATTGGATTAAGTCCAAAAGTGTTTTTGTTATACTTTAGGACATTGGAATACACCTATGTAGAAGTGGCAAAATATACAGAATACATATAATATATTATAGGGTACCTTAATGCAACTATATTCAATATTATCATTTTTTAATAATAATTATAACCTACAGGCAGTGTTCGGAACGTCCAAGTTTTTTGAAAAAATTGAATGCGTTCGCTGGGTCTTATTAAACGGTAAATTAATTTAGCAATTCATATTCATTAAAATATAAACGTCGTTCACACTCACATTCAATTTGAAATAAAACGAGTAATGTCCGAGTATTGTTCACTAGATATAAACGTGAACGTGCTTTCATGAACGACGATTCCATCCAAACACTGCCAACAGGCTGGTTTTAGAATAGCTGTATTGAACATTTTAAAATAAAGTGCCTTTTATGGTTAAATAGTATTAATATTATATAATATTAAATTATACTTTATAATGTTTTGAATGATTTATTTTATTAGACGATAGTTTTAATTTTATTATTACAAATTTAGATTAATATGTAATTGACCAGAGATCCTGGTTGGACATGATACTTATAGCATACAATTAATAAATAATTAGAAATTAATTAAATAAAGGATGTATACATTTAATTTTTGAGAGACTTTTTGAATTACATTTATATTATTAGGTAGGTTAATTAAAAATTTGATTAGTTCAATAAAGTAAAAACAACAAATAACAATTTGGCCAGTGAAATAAAGTTAAAAAAAAATTGTTAGTCCACTGATGTTATTGAAAAAAAAACCAACTTATTTAGAAAATTAATTTAAATATAAAATATCTTATTTATTTAATGCTTGGATGTTGTTGCATTTCCAATTTTTCTGCTACTGTTGAAGTTTAATGATTGGAAATTTTAAATGGGTTTCGTGTAAGCATGAATTACAATCTGCAATTGTACAGAATTTTTTTCATTTTTTATGAATATACTCAATTTTAAAACAATATTTACTATTTTTCAACATTAATTTAATTTTTACTTATTGGCTGTAAATTGAAGAAGTTTTTTAAACAAATACTTTTAGTCCAATTGAATGATTATTAAGGTGTTTTTTTCCTTGTTATAATAAAGTGTAAAATATTTTGTTTTTGTATAATTTATATAATATTTAAGGAAAAGAAAAATGAAAATAAATATGAAATTATTTTTATTAAAAGTTTATTTAAAGTATACTGTAAACTACAGTAAAAAAAAAATAAATAAAAAACTAATAAGAATAAATTTAAACCATTTATAACAAAATGTTATTTTATACTATAATACAGCAATCGATTTTAATAGTTTTTTATTTCTACAACAACTATACCCTACTAACTATGATTAACCTTATTGATTTTATTTTATTATTTTATTTTTATTAAATATATTTTGTTTGGATTTATTATTGTTGATATTGTATTGATACAAAACAAAATTCATAATTTCTTCAATTGTCTTTTAAAATTAAAGGAATTGATATTATACCTAGTATTGTTCAAAATATAAAAAGTAAGTAATGCCTAATATTATAAAATTAATGGTACAGGTAACTAATAGCTTAAATAATTATGCACAGGCACGTAGCCAGAAAATGTCTGCTAGGGGGGCCAATAATATTTGGTCCTTTTATTATTTTCCATAATTTTTCTTTAGGAAATTCTTGAAGGGGGTATGCAATACAAAAAATCTTATTAATTTAAATAATTTACCTTTAGTTGGTAATAGGTTAAATATTTTTTTTCACAAGTTAAACCTATTACTTATACTTATTTAAGAATTACAACAATAGAAAGTACCTGATAACGAAAAATATAAATAAATATAGAATTACTTACATCACCACTTCATGCTATAAAAAATAAATATACATAAATATTTAAAATAATAAGCTGCATCAATTGCTCTACTTCTATTAACAAAAATTAATTCATATTTGAATACTTATCAAAAATAATAGGGATAAATGATCATTAATTTTTAAATTAATATAATTTTTAAAGAAACTCAAATTTATTAAAAAAAAAACATACTAGTAGAAAATATTAATAATACACTTTATACTTACATAAATATTGAACAGTTCAATATAAAATAATTTTTCTGTTTTTGTGATTTTCTGAAAACAATTGTACAAAAATATCTAGATCTAAGCTTTTAGAAATTTATTTTTCTATGCTTATTGAAGCCAAATTATTCAAACGATCATTTGTCATGCGATTCCTCATATAGGTTTTCAGTCATCTCAGACATGAAAAAGTCCTTTCAAGCGTTGCACTGGAAACTGGAATAGATATTATAATAACGGCTAGTTTACAAGTTTCATTGAATGCAATCTTGTACTTTTCAAGTAGTTCAATTATATTCATCAGGTTGTTTACTTTAACATTATAATGAATTTGATAACTTTTAATAGTTGTCGGTTTTCATTCAGGTATCAATACAAATAATCAAATAATTGCAAAATATATTCCATTAGGTACTTCTTAGTTTTTAATTTGTCATTGTTTATACCTAATCATTAATTAATATCTGATATCAGTGCTATCAACTATCAAGCATGAAGCATATTATGTCAGTTGGTCTTTGTTTAATAAAATGGTATTTAATGGTATAAGATAACGAGTGAATAGCTGACAGTCTACAGATAGCAGTCGGGTCTCGGGTAAGCACTGACTGTTAATAGGCTTATAACTGCGGCTAGTCTATTATTGTTTATAAAACAGGTATCAAGACTCTATTATATTATATTTTTTCAGAGAGTTATCCACGGTTCCGCGAATATAAAAATTAAATTATTATAATAATAATTGTATTACCTAGTAGTAATCACAATAGGTAGATTTTTCTCAATGTGCATAATCACATTTTTGATAATTGGTAAAAATGATTATATTTCGAATTTGGGGGGGACGGCCCTGAGCCAGAGTATATTTAGTGTGGGCCCGGCCCACCTAGGCCCCCCTAGCTAGGTGCCTGGTTATGCAGTTTAGTTTAAGTACGAACAGACAAAAATTAGAAATATGTACTATGGCTCTGTAAGTTATATATTCTACAATATGCTTACCATCAAATATTATATTTACTATTCAGAAATAACATATTTAAATAATTAAGTTGTGAAGATGCACAGTAAGTATCATAAAGTATTGTTTATTTCAATAATATATAACCCTATATACTATATACTGAGCGTAACAGGGAGATCTGACAAATTAAATAACTTTTGTTGTTATCATTACTATATTATATATTATATAATTATTTATATAATATTGTTAATTAAAATAACATTCTTTACATTATATTTTATACATTAGTCTAGGGCAGAGGACTTGTAGCTCTAAAAAAGCTCTAAATATGCAAGCACTTAAGCACTAAAAGTTACCTAGCTTATTAAGAGGTATGTTGGCTGATAGCATTGCAGAACATAAGTCTTTATTGAAAGATGATTTTTTAGAATTACTCACCAATTGTTGTACTTTTCCCAATTCAAGTGCATTTTGGTTTTTTTCTTTACGTTTGACGAAATTTTTGTGTTTATCTGTATTAATGTGTTGCGTAACATTAAACCGTTTTTCACTCCCTACTTTAACGTCACAATAGTTACAGTACAGGACTTTACCGTCGGTCGAAGACATACGGGCACCAAACTCAGACACAAAACAATTTAACCGGCTACTTAAATGCTGTTTAACTTTCGACATTTTATTACAAATTTGAAATTATTAAATTTAAATTTTCAAATAAATTTATAATATTATACGGCTAATAAGTAGACACGATAATACGATAACACGATTCCGCTGAACTGACTGAGACTAAATACTAAAATATTGATTCTTGTCGTGGCTAGAAACGTTTTATAAATAAATCCGAATCGAATAAAAGCCCGCATGGTGTACACACGTATCTGGGGTGGTGATGTCGTAGGTATAGTGTACGTTAAAATCGTTATCGCTTCTAAAAAAAATGTGTGCCCGAGCAGTCAAAAAATCATATTAAACGACAAAAATTAAAAATAAATAAATTTTTATCCAAACACTTTGACTGTATTGTTTGAAATAAAAATGTCACTGTGGAAAAAATCGATTCAAGTAAAATATGTCTCAAAAAATATAAAATAGCGTATTAAAGTGTAAAATATGCCCTACAAACCAAAACAACGTTAAATATGAATTTATATGCACAATAAAATTTAAAAACTAGCTTTGTAGAAGCATGAAACGTATTTGTTTCACACTCTGCTATTTTTGTGACTGTGCAAAAAAAATATGCAAATGCTACAAGTCCTCTGGCCTAAGTCATTACCTATCTTATTTTATTTGTTAATTAATGTTGATCCAGTCATAAAAAAAATTTAAAATTAAAAGTATTAACCTTTTTAAAAATATTTTAAGAACATTTTTGAATAAGTACTTGTTAAAATCTAAATATATTTTTTTTAAACTTTAACTTTTCAAATGAATGAAACTTACTACAAAAAGTGTGGCAATTTAAAAAAAATCTTGAAAAATAAACTACATAATTTAAGTAAATGTTTTTAAAACTTTTTCACAAATTCAGATTTATAAATTGGATATTTTAATTTAATTTAAAATTAAAATTTTTAATATTAAAAATAAAATAAAAAATGTTACATTATACATGTAGCTCCAGTCAATAAATAAAATAAAATATAAAATATCTATATATATACACATTAAAATCTAGATTTATTTTCGCAAGTTATAAACAGTCACAATATTTATGTGTTCAAAATAAATAAATCGTAAATTATATATGACAGTGACACGGTTAAAGTATCAAAAATATACAAAAATGTGAGAAACACAACAGGTCAATGTATCTTATCATGTTTCATAAGTGTTCAATGTCAATTGAAATAGTTTTGAATAGCAGCTCAATTATACAATTTTTAAACATTAATATTACATGAATAATTGTTTTAAATTTTAAATTCTATACATAATAAATTACTTTTCAGTATAATAAATATTAAGTCATAAATTCGGTTTAGCTGTCAAGGTGATTTCTTCAGTATTTAACAATTATATTAAAATAAGTTTAAAATAATTATACAAGAAAATATATTTAAACTTACTGATATAATAAAAAAAAATATATAATTTTTAAAATTTATCTACATGCTCTCTACATAGTGTTCCAGGAAAACCTGACTAAATAACTTTTGTTCTAATCAATATTTTTAAACTTTTTATTCATGTATAAATTATTGTCTCTTGCTTTACACTTTTAGTATACCATATTATATTTTATATTTTATCTTATTGTTTTTGTAAGGTAATGTTGAACCAGTCATATAAAACAATTAAAATGTAAAAAGTAAAAATGTATTTTTGGCACTTTATAAACAGTTACAATTTATGCGTTAAAAATGTATAAATACTAAATTATTTAGGACTGTTCATTTTTAATTTTTTTAATTTATACAAAAATGTGAGAAACAAAACAAATAAGTGGATTTTATTATATTTCATAGATATTGAATGTCAGTTAAAATAGTTTTGAATTGCAATACCTTTATCCAATTTTTTTATTTTATTAATATAACATAAATAATTGTTTTTAATTGTAATTTGCTTAAAATAAAATACTTTCCAGTGTTACAATTTTTATAAATTCGGTTAAGTTGTCAAAATGATCTTTTTAACTATGTCAATTAATAAGACTATGTAAAAAATCATTATACAAATAAATATATTATAACTACTTGATCTAATTTTCAAAATTTACCTATATGCCAACATTAAAGCCTGACTTGAAATTTTCAACATTTTGTTATGAACAATATTTAATTCAATTTTTGAATAATGATCATAAAAATATTTATTTTAGTCATACTTAATTTTTTACAATTTTTTTAAATCTTATTATTTTTGTCCAGATGTAGAAAAATATTTTAAAATCAAAAAGTATAACTTTCTTTAAATATTTTACAAGAGTTCCTTATTATAATCAAAGAGTTATTTAAAAAAGTTATTATTTTTCAAATACTTGATGTTTCTAAAATTAGATATTTTAAAAAATTATAAGAAAACCATGGAGTTACATAAATGATTTCACACAAGTTTGCTAAAACTATATTTACTAGGTAATTGTCTATTTACAATTTTTCATTAGATATTCAAATTAAAAGAAAAATAAATGCATTAAAACTATTATAATATGTGGAGCGTACAAGTCAATAAATTATACAGAAAACAAAAATTAAAAATATGAATTAGAATGAGTTATTTTATTTGTCAAGTTGTCCTCTAATACCATGTATACATAATGATGTTAATTGGTAGTAATCTTCAGTTTAACATTATTACAATAATGTGTTTTTATTAAATACGATATTTCAGAGACAATTATTGTGTGTTATTTAGATAAATTACATGATACAACCAAACCTAATTGATTACATACCAGTCAATTTTTTCAATTTATTGATAATTTAAAAATGTTGTAAAAAAAGATTGGTAAACTATGCATAAAAAAGTAAAATAAGTGGTAGTAAATAAAATAAGTTTAATGTTGATAAAAATGTAATATAATTTATTAGTAAAAGATTTACTATACACTTATTTTGTTTGATTTTAGAATGAATTTGAAATTAATTAAGTGTAGTAAATAAAAAATATAATAGAAAAATATAATATAATATTGTACACAATTTATATAAAATAAGTAATAATAAGTAGAATATAAATTTAAGTTTGTAAACAAATCATAGTTAACATTTCATAAATTTGTTCGGTAAACCCCTCTAAAATAAATAGTACAAAAAGATCACAGATACTATATTATAAGATCTATCATGAGTATCACAAATTGAGAATTCCTTATAATATATTAAATAATAAGTATTTATTGTCATTCATATTTTTTGATAATAATACATCATTGAAGTTATTAAAATTTGATATCATTAAAAAAATAAATACAATTCGTTAACATGTTTTTTAATTTAAAGCGAGTATTTAACAATAATATAATTGTGTACAACTTAGTTCAATAAAATAAATCTTCACCGAATAAACAATATAAAACGCTATAGGTACCCTTATACATTAAAAATATTTTTGTATTTTCTTTGCTCGATAATTAGTTTACAATCAATAAATCGTCTGTCTTGGTACTTCTTGAAAGTAAGAATAATATAATTCTGAAAAAAATAAAAATTGCATTAGACTGATAAACAGAATGTTAAATTTATATAATAATATTCTACTCATATAATATAATAAATATTACATTGGTTAACAAAGAAAAAATAATAGAGACTTGATCTAAATAAAAAAAAGTTTATATTTACAAGCACTTTGTTTGAATATTAATAGTGAATACATCAAGTTTCACAGAAGAGAATCAGTCAGGAAGTAGTTATAAAAAAAGTAATAGACTATATTAGGGTAGAAGTAGGGCGGGTTTCATTTAATCCTTATGGGTAGAAACTTTATACTGTTATTTATGTAGAGTACTTCAACCTCATTGAAAGTAGACAGAAGTATAAGAAATAGCAATAGATGAGCAACCTATTATGAAAGTCATCATTGTCATTTAAGAATATTTAATAATAAATCAAATATATTCCCTCACTAAGTAGAGGTTTTTTTTTCTGAAAAGATTTTTCTGGAGATGAAAAGAATTCACTCGTAGTTTGATTTTTACCTACAATTTTTGTTATCTAAGTTTGACCCGATCGCTTGAAATAAAATTGAGTAACCGGTAAAAATGAAATGGTGCTAACTGCTAAGCTAACTATTATTGTACCTGAGTAAATTACAAAAAATTCTTACAAACACTTAAATATGTAAAAAATAATTTATTACAATGTATTTGAATTGAAAATAACTTACATGTATAAGCCTAAGACAAATGTTCCAAATATTGATGATAGGAGAAATATAAAATTGGCGAAATTATGGATTGTCATATTATAGGCAGTGGTATATATTGGAGAACCAAGTAATGTACCAAAACCTTCGATCACACTTATGAACGCATATATTTTCCCTGAAAATTATTATTATTATAACCAACAAATAAAATATTTACAAAAGGCTAATTTTTTAAATTTGTTTTAATTCACCTAAATCTTCAGGTGGAAAACTCTTGGATAATTGAGATCGAACTAAGGGTTCACTGGTCAATACCACACAACCAAAAATCTTCACAAAATAAAATTGCCATGTATATTGAGAGTATGCTAAGCCGACTTTTTCTATAATTCGTAGTCCTGTAGCTGCAGTAGCAAGATACATGTCTGGTATTTCAAGTTTAGTACTCAACACATACAACCCAATTGCAGGAATACTAGCTAGAATAATAAATAAATGCTTAGTTTATGTCTAATATTTCATAAAATATTAACCGAAATAAATTACAAACCACTTAATAATGTTGCATAAGCATTGAATAAAGTATAATTTTCTAAAGTCCATGAAAATTGTTTTTGTAGGTACATATACATCAATGAATCTTCACCTAAAATAGAATGCATTATTGATATGTAATATAATATTGGACTGTATGACTTTAATTAGTATTTAAATTGAACAATGTTGTTAAGAATATTTTATTACAATCAATGAAAGTAAATGAGTAAATTTAGTACTTGCCTAATACAATTGCTAAATTTAAAGTTAATACCACAGCAGAAAGAATTATTATGCATCTCAAAAATCCAAATCGTTTCTTCATAACAGTTTCCCACATACTTTTTACTAGACTGAGGTTGAAAAGTTTTGTATTTGTACCCTATAAGTAAACGAGAACAAATTAAAAATACAATAAGTACAAAACCATACATTTCTTACCAAGCACAGAATCTAAAAAACAAATGCATTAACTTTAATTTTTACTTTTAATTTAGAAAATATTAAAATTGATAAAATATGTACCTTTTTTATGACAACTGTTTCTTTGAGAAAAAGAGACGTGTAAAGAAGTCCAGCTATTGTGAACATTGAACTTAAGGCAAAGGCATAGGTAGGGGATTTGCTGTACAACATAGGACTTAGTATTGATCCAATAATTGAGCCAAAAGATATAAATGTTTGTAATACACCTAATCTGTAAAAAAAATCAATTATTAAATTACAATAAGCTAGTTTCTATTTACAAATTGATTTATAATAAATAATATGATGTAATATAATTAGTGCATTTGATAAACAATTTATTAAATATTATAGTTTAATGGTGATTTGGTGATATGTATTTACAGTTTTGTAATTTTACCTTCGAAACATTACCATTTGATAATGGTATACATTAAAATATTATGTATAATACTAATGTTGATTAAATTTAAAATTTTTTTAACTTTTTAACCCAATATTTTAAATTTGTTACCTGAAAGCTCTGGTTTTGAAATCAGTAATGTCAACAATATAACAAAATGAAGCTATAAACAATGCACCACCACCACCACTTACGGCAACAGGTATGCTGCACAGCAAAAACATTATTGGAGGTAGACTGGGCATTGTAGAAAACACACAGTACATACAGTTAGATACTACCATACCTTCAATTTTAAATCATCACAACTTTAATTAATGTACACAAGTAAATATTTTTACAATTATTTCTCACCTGAGATAGCTGCTAAAAACAAAGGCAAACGACCGTTTAGATCACTCCATGGACCTAAAAACAATGCTGTTACACAAGGCACCAATGTTTCGATTAGATTTTTAATCATCTGCAAATCTGCCACAGCCGGCTGAACTATTTCTTGTTCTGCTGCAGTCATATTGAAACAATTCACAGACTTATTTTTGCCGAGATCACTATGGATGCATACACGTTCTTCGATTAGGTTAGTTTGCACCATCACTAAAATCATAATTAATACATTCAGATTTTCTATGACTATAATGATTACCTATCAACAGTCATGTAGTCATAATTTTTTTAGTGTGTATAAGTTTACCATGTGCTTGATAGGTAAATGTGGAGAGCTTTGCTTTCTACATCCCTCTATATACTACGTAATTATTATTTTCATACTTATAATTTTAGCTCCAAAGTAAAAATATGGTAAAGCCATGGCTATAGGAAAATAAAGCACTGGGAAAAATTACTTTTAATTAGTTTATTATTTTTTTTAGTTATTTTTTAATTGCATGTATTATTTATGATGTTATTATTTTTATTTTAATAAATTAATTAAGCATAGAAATTAGCATAATAAATTAGGTGTATATGTTCAATTATACATAAGAACCTAACTTAGGAAGGCATAATATTTTTAAAAAACTATTGTCTATTTTCTTACTTTATATTTGAAATGATTTTTTACAAAAGTTTTAGTTAAATTACATACAATTAAAATAATATTTCATAATATGATTATACTATACTACATAATTAAATTAAATTAATTTAAATCAGGACAATACATTATGTTGAACTCAGTATTAAATACAATTATTGAACAATAAATAATATCATTAATGTCAATAATAATTCTGATAGTTCATAGAAGAATTCTAAGTTCGAAATATTAAGAGCACAATCATTGAATAGTTAATGTTTGTTGATAAGGTACTTTTTTAATCATATTTTTATTTTGGGGCTTTTTATCCTAGATTTTTATATTCACAATATCCATACATATTTAATGTTTAATTACAGTGTTGTACACTCGGGGCCAGTTGTACCGTCTACGGTTAGCTGATAACAGATTTTATAACCAGCCAAATTTGGCCAATTAAACTTCGGTTTACTTTAATCGGAAATAGTACAACTGGTCCTTGTACTGGCGTATATACTAAAATACTAGTGCCAGGTTGCATTAAAAATGAATAGACATTTAACAAATCAATCGTAAGCTAATGATCCCTTAAACATGGTTTAGTCTATAAGTTGTAAATTACATTTTATTGGACCGTTAAATTAATACAATTTTCATGCAACTCGGCATATTAATACTTATAATAAAGCCAAATGTTTTGATTTTAGAAACCCTTAGATTGATAATTTGGTTTAATAAACATTTTTATTTATTAATCAAATTGGTGCATAGAATTATATGCATTCCCATATTATGTGTACATGGTATATCCATGTATTATGTGTTAACTAGGTGGCTGATTATACCTGAGGTTGGGTTATAAAGCCGAAAGCCATATGCCATATCTCAATGTATTTGTTTGTTATCACTTTGTCAGTTCGAATTTATTATCATATTGTTAATGTATAATGTATATTATATTTGTGACTAAATCTAAATACTATAAATGTTTTAGAGTATTTGCTAAATCAAAATTTACTAGTAAGTAAGCAAATAAGTTTTAGGTAAAAACGAGGACTACTTATTCAGCACATCACTGTACAGACTATGCAATATCAGGATCAAAAAACATTTTTTTAAGATGAGATTGTTTTATATTTATTTATCATTTTATTATTTTAAAAATAATTTTGTATAGGTAAATGTTTTTTTTCACAATATTTATTTTCATTTAACCTTATTGTTTTTACATTTCCTCTGAGTGTTACCAAAAAATTACATATTTGGTTAATAGCTAATGGACACAACGAATTTGTGGCAAATGCTGGAAGTTGTTAATGTAATCATTATTTTAAACAATCAAACTTTTATGAAAATCTCAGAGGAAGTTATAAATTAACTTTATCTATGCTATCAGTTTTTCAACTTTCAGTTTATACTACATTATTGCTTACTTAACTTTTTTCCAGCAAACCACGAGAAAAAAAATGTAATACATGTTTTGACACATTAAAAAATTACCCAAAAATCAATTTTTATAATTAGTTTTTTTTATGGATGCATTAATTGAAGATTTGCCAATAATATTTGTACAATATGTGCCCCAGAAGACATTGAGATCTTAATCGATTCCTGTTTTTCCACTCCAGCAAAATGACCACTAATTATAATACCATCAAAACGTAGTTTTAATAATTTAACTTTATCATCTCCTCAAAGAACTCCAACCAAGTACAAAAGGGAAATTAAATTATTACAACAAAAAGTTTGGAGACAAAATAAAACCATAAATAAACATAGAAAGACTTTTTGAAAAATATGAGACCAAGGCATGTTATCAATAGAGGAAAAAAATATTCTGTTTGATAAATTCGGTGGAATTTCAGCAGAAATTTTTGATAAATCAAAAATAATTGTTTACCCTTTCAACCTCAATTACTCAAAGAAAAAACTCAAGAAAAATAAACCAGAGATAACTCAAACATTCTGTGATTCCAATATAGATGGATAATGACGGACATTCAAGATTTTCAAGAAAAAAAATTCAATACGTATCGATACGAAATAGTTACGGACCACCTCGTATCGGAGTCTGAGTCCGATACGGGTCGGTACGTATCGCTTGTATATTGCACGTGTAACATCTTGAACGCTCAAAATTGACCCGATACGTACCGAAGCACTCCAAATTCTGTCTTGAAAATCTTGAATTTAATAAACATTTGGTCTGATCTGTTTATCTGTTCCGATAATTTGATAATTGATAAATTGATAATAGCAAATCTCAAATTTTAAGTCAAAGTAAGATAAGAAATTATCTATTATAAAGTGGCAACACATGTTTTATTATATTTTTTTTTATTTAAATAACCTATATAATCACATTTTTTACATGTTTTATAATAACTAAAAACTTTAATACACACCTACATACATTTTAAAAACTCTAAGTCAGATTTTTTTCTAAAACCTTGGTAACTTGAAAACCTTGATAAGTCGAAAAAAATTGCATTTCTGTTGAACTTCGACTTATCAAGGTTCCACTGTGTTCAAGTTCTAAGTTTGAAAGAAAAATAGAAATGTTCTATTGTATATATCTGTGAAATTATATTTCATATTTTATAATTAATTATTTACACTTTAATTAATATTATACTTTATAATGGTACAAAATGATAAAAATAATTAAAGTAAATATTGACTACCATGCATATGGCCATTGACTTCCAAATGTTATGCTTGTCAGCTATCTAGTCATTGTATATATCTATGGTTATTTTAGAAGTATACACACTGAAAAATAAATAAATGGGTATAAACTGTAATTCAGGGCTCAAATTTATATTAAAAAAAAGGTTGCTAATGTTTAACGTTATTGTACATTGAAACATAATCTGATTTTTTCAGCTTAGCATTATTACATTTTTCATTTCTAGTTAAACATTATAATTTAAAAATAAATAAGGAGTTAAAATTGTTTTTCAATAAATTCTACTGTTATTTGTGGTATAATTATCCAAACTGTTATGAAGAAAATCAGGAAATATGAAATTAGTAGAATTAGTTGGCCAAGTTAGATTATTTTCAATCATATTAGCAAGAAACTAACTGATAAGTTAGTGTAAGTTTAGCTGTTGGTCACTTCAGCGAACTATAACGTAATATTTATTACCTAAACAAAATTTGAAGTTTGAGGTTTGTATACAAAATAGTAGTTAGCTAATTTAAATAACAGCGAAACATTTGAAATGTTCAATATAACTCTAAAAGGCATTAATATAATAATGCCAATTAGTGTTGCAATTTGTAATAGGTAGGTTTGACTTTTTAGCTTAAAAATGTATTCATACAAATTACTAAATAGTAATTTACAACTAATATTTTATAGATATCATGAAGTTGTAATTTGTACCTTTAACTGACATTTATGATATTAAGTGTATTATATATTTAAACATTTTTGTTGAGCAAGATTCCACAAGATAATATAATTTGTGAGATATAGAAATTATTCAAACAGACTTTTATTAAAATAACAAATAAGCTATAAGATATAAAAATGGTAAAAATATTGTTGGGTTCAATGTAAAAAAAAAACTACACACATTTTCTCGAAAAACGATATTTTTAATTTTTTTACTTTCTATGTACATTTATTGTTTATGGATACCTGTGTATACGCTACACTACACCACTACCTATCAATTGTTAGGTTATTGCGAGGCTGAGTTTTAACAAGTTAAAAAGTTTATTTGATTTTAACTAACTTATTTAACTAGTTACTTAATACTAATTACATTTTTATTTTAAGAAGTTAATATACTTTATTTAATTAAATTCTAATTGATCTTGATGTCAAAAATATTTCAGGAAATGTTTAGTGTGAATTCCTTACTTCAATGAAGTACTATATTAAAATACTGTATAAACACTGTACCTACCTATAGTTTTGAATTTCTTAAATATGAAATATGTTAAATAAGTTAAAAAATGTGTGTATTAAACTTTCAACTTTTTCTTATTAATGCATATCAACTGAACTGTGTTTAAAAAAAAAATCATTAACTTTCCCAGCGTTGTGTTACTGTATAAATTACAAAACCCTAAGATAAATTAAGAAATAACAGTTAAATTTTAATTATTTTTTACAATGTGAAATGAATCATAATTAGGCAAGGAATTTCTCTCTGAATTTCTAGTAGACAACCAATGGCTGATGGATAAAAATCGGGTATAAATGCACGAGTTGTTTAAAGGATGCCAGTACAATATTTGTGTTCTCTCACAGACTCACACACAATATAGATAATACTCATTCATGTAAAATTGTTTTTAATGATTTTTCAGTAATCTTAGTTAAATATCTGTATCACAATAATTATAGAGCATAATATCCCTGATAATATTTTTGAAAGTTGGACATATAATCTGTTTTCTATTTATTATTATTTGAATTTAAAAATAAAAACTTGTAAATTGAAATGGATATTTAATTTTATTGAGACAATTTTTAAACAAATCAATATTATATTTTTAAAACTTTACGAGCAAAACTCCATTTAAAATATAGTACAGTATTTGGTTTTTAGACTTAGCAATAGACAATAGTATACATATGAATACAAGATAAAGAAGAAAAACAATTAGTGAAGTGAACATAATTAATTTGAGGCGAAAGAGGTGTCTAGATTTGCTTGTCTCATACATTGAGTGAGTGGTTCATTATTTAGGTAATCAGTAGCAAATATGTCTTATATTCAGAAATAATATTCTCTATATTGTCACTATAATTTTTGTAATGGGTTATTTTACTTTATTAACTCAAAACCATAAAAAAAAATGTGTGAACATTTTGCTCTTAATCCAAAGAGAAAATAAACAGAGGGCTAACATTCGCTTAATATATTATTAAGAGGATGTCATACTCATAGGTGTTTTCTGTGTCTTACTGAAGCATATTTGATCAAAATGTATGTCCAGCATTTTCAATTTTATGTTGAAAGATTAAATATTGAAGTGAATTGGACTATCATCAAACTTAAATGTAAGAATATTATCTGTGTTCTCTCGTTGGTTTTTTATGATATTTTTAAGTGAGTTATGAGTATATGCAATATTAATATTTGAAATTGCTCATATAATTCACTCAAAAATTAAATAATCGTAAAAAATACTGATGAGAGAACACAGATACTGTTCTTATATTTAAGTATTATAATAGACAAATTCACTTTAATGTTAAATCTAACAACAGAAAACTGGAACTACTGGACATGCATTTTGGTATAAATGTGTTAGTAAGATGGAGGCAACATATGCGGGTACAACATCCTCTTAATTCTGACCACGAACACAACTATTGTTTATAACATAGATATGGTCAAATGACAAAGCACTCACTGCTGACATTCACTCCCAGGAGCAACAGCATCATGATGGGCTCTAAGGTCAGTCTGAATTTGGTTTTGTCATTGGGCTCCATGACTTGCACCACACCACTGTCCATATCCGGCTCTTGGATGCTGCCTGCCAGGGCCACTACATTAGCACTCTCACCGTCCTGCAACAGTTGCACGTGTTAATAACCGATGACCGCGTACAAAACCTAAAATCGTGGGGTGCACTCACGGTTTCCATGTCGGTAGGTCGGTCAACTGCCAGAACAGAGTTGGATTTTTATGATAATATTATTATTATCTTGTTCGGCGGTGGGTACGTGGATATTCGAGATATATCTCGAATTAATATAAGTTTGTGTGATGTGCCGATACGAAAACAACAATATTATTGCCAATTTAAGAATAATACACAATCGTGTACCTGTCGTACTACTATGTTGTTTTGTTTACCGAACAAAGGAAGGTATTACGTAATATCAGGTGACATTTACAGATGAACGTCGCGCGCATTGTTCTACGGACGACCTATGCTACGGCATAAAGTCGTGTCTATAATCTATATCTACCAAGAAACGTACTACTTGTTGACAATCAGATGTATCGGACTATCGGAGTCGATCCAGTCGAAACGGAAAAAAAAATTTAAGTCACTACAGTCACAACTACAGAACAAAGTCCGACACTCCTGTCTCCTACTAATGTGAATACTGTCACGGTAGGTACTAGTGTACTACACTACTATGTACTACGTAGTTCGTAGTATTTACTGCTTAATTACAAAACACACAATAATAATGGTATTGCCGTTATCGCGTATAATCACTCTTATCATTTTTCGGACAAGCCCTTATCACTCTGAGGCCTCCAAATGATAATATTAAGAGGATGTGAGCGCACCGTTTGTTTGTCTTTCTCACTCACTCTCTCTCTCTCTAGTTCACGCGCCGCATAGATGAAACGCATTTAAGCAAAATCGTTTTTTTGTTTGTGTTTTTGAATGGTCTTACAGAAAGTCAGAAAAAGTGTCCATAACAAAATCGACGGAGAATGATATTTTGATGAAACGTCACATCTCGATTTGTTTTAATTTTGTCTCAAATCAATTCAAGCATCATTTAAAATTACAAATTTTTTTTTCATTTTGAAAGTCGAATACGAAGTCAAGTAATTATAAAAATATATAAATCCGTTATGTCGTACCCTCAATAATATTATCCTCTATAATTTTTTGTAATAAATGATTTTATTCTATGCTGCTCGTGGGTTTGAAGGAGAAAACAAGTATTGCGTTTAAATCCTCTTGATGCAATATTCTCATGTCATATATTCTCGAGTCGCAGAACCTTATATTACAACAATTAATGTATAATTTTCTTTTTGATTTGTTGGGTAGGTATAAGATTTTTTTTGAATTGAATGCATAACCGTTTACACTTTAAGCAACAGCTAGAACTTCATAGACAGTTAATAATAAAATAAAAATTGCACTTAAACAATAACTTAATTCATGATATCTTACTTGTCACTACTTAAAATTGTTGAACACTTAGTGTGTTTCCAATGACTATTGAGGGCTAAATTATGTTTTTATATAAGGATAAGTGCTAATTAAAACATCTCCATACCTCCATGGTATTGCTTTATGAAATCGATACTCTCAATTGCACTTCGAACATTTTGAATGATAGATCGTAGGAACATTAGGAACATACTATTGTAGTTCTGGAGAAATTGATTTTATTCAAAATATTAATCAAAATTTTAGAATCTGTCAAGATAATATAATAAAATAATAAAAACCAAACAACATAAAATATAATATGTCTTTTTAAAAACATATTTAAACAATTTCTTTCAAAAGCTACTTTCATTTGAATAGCCAGTAAAAACAGATTATTAAAACATACCTTGTTTAACAATCAATTGTTTTTCAATTGTATGTCAATAATCTTGATTAAATGTTTCTGACTTAAAAAACTGATTACAATTATTAATTGATATATCTTTTACCATCCTGGAAGTATTTTAATAGCTGTATCATTTGTTAAATGTACCTACTAGATAAGGATTTCTTAAAAATGTAAAATATTTAGTTTTTGAAATTATAATAATTATTATTCTGTTGATAAATTTACTTTTTATACCTATTATGTATACATAAAAAATGTCTTGAGGTAGATAACTGCAATTATTAATAATGTATCTTGAAAATGTAATACATTTTCTGATAAAGTTTGAATCTCCTTAAAACATAGGTAGGTTCATTAATAATTTTGATCATGGTAATAGATACATACTAATAATTGGCATTCAGCAGTTTTTAGGAAAATTTGAATTTTTAAAATGAAAAAATACTAGTTACTTATTGTTTTTGACGAGTTAGATTAGAATATTTTACACATTCAATTCAACTAGTTAATATTAATTAAAACTAGCTAGTTAATGCCCAGCTTTGAATATTAAATCCACTAAAATTATGTATAAAGTAGATAAATAAATATGTAATGTATCATCATACTTACACTTTGATTCAAACAATTATTATATTAGAAGGTATTATATTAAAATAGTTATTAGTTGATATACCAGGTAATATGGGATCATCAGTGTTTAAAAATAATTTTGTTATGGCTCCAAGAGAATTCTCTTATACGGGGTTATCTCAAACAAATCTTAATAGATACTTAGTAAATACCTATATAACTATGGGAATTATATAATATTGAACTAAATTAGAAAATATAACTGTGAATGTAATATAATTTTAATATGAAATACTGCTTTCACCTTATATTTAAATGTCGACAATATTATCTTATTTTTGAAAATTATCATTACATGCTCTTAATCTTTTGGTCAAACTTTTTCCAATAGCCATTTCCCAATCATTGTGACTATCTTTGGAAATGGAAAATCGAGATTCACCAGTTCTAAAACAACATTTGTCTAAACGAGACATTTCAGATTGTAGTTTGTGACGTATTCAGTATTGTATTCAATATAATATTTTGTTATTCAAAAACAAAAATAATAATTGTTTATAAATGAACACGTAGCAGGACTTAAAATTCATATTATTATTTGTGCATACCATGCACTTCACTAGATGGTGTCTGTAGATTTAAGAAAGCTTACAAACAATTTTAACCGCCCGTTGCGTATCCAGCATTATTATTCGTGCCTTATGACTTATACCACGATCCAGGGATTCCGGCCAGTTTTGAGTTTAGGCCCCCAGACTGTATGTTTATTTTTTTAAATTAAAGAAGATTACCATTTGTTTAGTTGTTGTATTTAATCCATCTTAAAATTTCTCAACTGGTTTTGATCCGAAACAAAAGAAGTTATCATTTTCAAAGGTAGTGAAAATCACAAACATCATCAGCTTTAATATTTATTCTGGGATTTCAAATTAAGACAAAGTTAGATACCATTTCTTCTAAATTGGTTGTAAAATTAATTATGGTATGTATATTATTATATTCTAATTCCATGAAATATTTAACTTATACACAAAAATGTGTAGGTATACATTAGAAGAAAAATGACTCAGATGCAAATTGTGAACCAAATGTATCAGTTGCATCAGATCAAAACAAGAACATTTGTACTTCAAGTGTGAAAATCGAAAAGTGTATACAGGAAACCTAGGAAACAAATTATGAAGGTTGATTACATGTGTGTTATTATTTTTTCATTCAACTTAATTGTTATCTTATTTAATACGAAAATAGTAGGTTAAAGAGAAAGTAGAGAGCTAACAATTTTTAGTATAACCTAAAGACTCTTTGATCAGATCACAGACTAGGTCTTTTCACGCCAGTCCAACTCTGCCACAATCATGAAGACTAGAATATTTTAAATGTAGATAGTACAGTGCTGAAATTGAGAATTATTAAGTAGAGGTCAGAGGAACTCAATCCGACAATTAAATGCAAAATTATTTAATACTAGCCCGTGCCGACCACCATTCCTAAATGTTAAATACTAAATTGCAGCTTAGTTATAGCTATGTAACATGCAAATGAATACCTATGGATTTATATTTTATATTTACCTTATTTTTTAACATTTCATGTAATCGGTAACTTATAATAGTCATTTTTTAATTTTATTACCATTCCCATTTTGGTAGCAATAATAATTAAATGATTCATAAAAAAAATTGGTGATAATCTCTTAATTTGAAGTCTACAGATATTTGATAATACAAATTATCTGACTACCTATACGCTATACCTAATACATAATATTATCTGTGCACTACTAAACCAGGCCAAGATATAATAAACACAAATTATAATAAAAAAAATAGCAAGGTTATTAGGAAGGTTATTAAGAAGTCTAATTGTCTAAACCATAGAATATACAGAAAAATATTTACAATATAAAAAAATGTAAAATGCACTTGGTAGGTTGGCAACAATATTTAAATCCCCTCCTCATTTTAATAAAAATTATTTCTGGCGTTTGTACTGTCCAAGTAAAAAACAAATAGTATACAAAAAAAAAAAATATATGACCCTCGCCCCCTGCGCCCTCACTTCCAGAAGTGTGAAAAAATACGAACCAAGTTACCCACGTTCACTGCGAGTACTACCTATCACCATAATAATTATATTATGCTCCTTCTATAAATTAGTATAAGGACAATGGACATTATTCCAAAAATGGTTCGATCTAGACACATTTTGATATAATAATTATGTAATATAAATATATTTTACGAACTATACAGCAAGCTGCAGGTCTCCGTTTTATCGGTAATAATATCTTTTTACTAGTGTACCACCACCTGTTGTTGCCAAGGGAGACGTTAATGATACAATTTGGTACAGGTATAATAGTTACCTATTTATTTGATAACATTATATAATTTATTATTATTATCATTAATTATTTATTAATAATTATTATACACAACCGGACTTTGGACACCTTGTTGCTATTTGACCGCAAGTCACTCATACACAACAACACGCCTTCTGTTGGATATCTATACCTTGCCTATATTGTATTGTTTGGGTGATAAATACAAAGAATGAATAAATCGTCAATGTACAATTGTTTGTTATATTATAATAATTTATTATTATTTGAAGAAAACCGAGCTGCTGCAGATTGTCTTTGCATACAAGTAGGGTTACCAGATCGTTTCTTTGAGAAAAGAGCATCTACATTATAATATGATCTCTAAATTCCTAAAGTTTATTAGTAGGGCTGGAATATTAATGACCTTAATAAAATTCAAAAACGACACAAAAAACTCAAAAGATGCACTGTAAAAATGACATGAAATTTACCAAAAAAAAGGTAATATTATTATATTAAGGTGTATATTTACCGATTTAAGATTATTTTGAAACAAATAGGTTTTTTTAAAGTAATACAATACGTTTTATTTGAAGAAATATTAAAAATAAATAACATTGCCTTAAATGTTTTTATAAATATTTGTAATGATTGGAAATGCTTGAAATGTTCTTCAAATATTTGTACTACTTACCTTTTTTTATACACAAAAAATAATATTCAAAATATTTAGGTTGATTTTGAAATATTTGTGGTTGTTTTATATTTCAGACTTTTCTGTTTATTTTATTTATGTTGATAAAATTATATGATGTCAAAAAACTTGAAAATAATGCAATAAGAAATTCCTCATAAATAATTGTTCTCCCATCAAACAATTTTATTACCTTATTGTAATTCCAAAAATATAAATCATATAAGTACCTATTTGAAACATCTACTACTGTTGGGCACTTTACATA